TTTCACCCTTCCGATCCTCCCCCCCGTCCCACCATGGGGGAGAGAGCGAGCGGCTGCGTGGGGCTTAGTCGCCAGCTGGGTCTCAACTGTGACACTGTCCCACAAGCTATGGACCACCCATAGACCCGCCAGCCAAGTCAGCTTCTCTCCAAGGACCAGGGATTTGTTTTTTCCCTTGTCAGCAAAGGCCCCTCTCCTGCAAAGGATGTGCTGACGTGGCCACCAGCACATGAAGGAGGTGGAGAGCTACGTCCTACCATCCTAGGCTGGAGGAGCGCAAAATAAACCAGAGATTTACCTATCCTGGAGCTCCTCCTGGTGTCTTGTCATGGGAAACACAGTATTAGCAGTTCCCCAGCTGTAAGGACGGGGAAAACACAAAGATAGGAGATCACTCCGAAAAGCCACTCTGGCCAAATGCCCTCACCGCTCCCTGCTGGGACCTGCAGAGAGGAACAGCCTCCAAAAGTCAGGGAGAAGTGGGGAAGAGAAGGGAGTGATGACAATGTCCCCACACCTAGAAGGCAACTTTTTATAAGCACCTCAGGCACCTTTCCAGCAGAAAAAGGTTGGGTCCCTTGCCCACAAACGAGTTGGTACGAAAACAACACCTACACCCTGCTAAAGGTGCCTGGGTGCACTGGGACCATCGCTCCTGCCCGGGGGCTTTGCAGCGTGGAGCCACCACGGCGGTGGTCGTGCAGGGGTGGACCGTGCTGGCTCAGCTTCCCCCCCAGCCCCACAACGCTCGGGGACTGGAGCTGCGTAATAAAACCACTGAGACAGAGCAACTTTGACCATCTGTGCGTTTAACTCACCTTCACCAATCTTTGCAGTTTTACGAGCCAGACGCTGGACGTAGGTCTGAGGTCAATACCTCCAAGCCAGAGATCTTTAGGAGCCCGCAAACGTGCAAAATCTGCTCCAAACCCGAAAATATGCCGTGTTGGATGAGGGGAGCTCAGAAATCAGGCTTTTATAACACAACAGGCCTGTTTGCAGAAGAAAAATGGGGGTTTCCCACCCTCCCTGTGCAATGAGATGCTACCAAGTCCTCCTAGCCACGTGGACGTGTAGCTCCAGGTGGGCAGAGGCCACACAGCTGCGGTGGGAGAGGCAGGAGCTGCCCACATTTATTACTCACCCACCCCAAGGGCATTTCTGCAAGTGCCCGGTCCACCCAGGCAAAGGCACCGTGGTGGAAGGACGTGTCCAACACCATCCCCGAGCCCAAAGGAGCAGGCAGCTGCCTGAGGGCTTTCCATAGCAGCACAGGTCCCCAGAAGACTGTAAAGTTGCATCCCCAGAAGTGGGAACAGTTTAAATCCAAGTAAGCAGCAAGTCATGGGAGAAACGGTATCTAGACATTTTTATTATTCAAATCAATGTTTACGGCATCCAGAAGCAAGGGTACATGAACTGTGCAGAGGTGGGCAGGGACAGCAAAGAGCCTGTGCTGATCAGGGTCTTCTCCAAAGCTTAACCTCATACTTGCCAAGACCAGAAAAGAAAAAAAAAGCAATTTAAAAAAATCCCAAGCCTTCAGCAGCTCTGCCATCACAAGCAGCCAAGACTGGTGTGACTGCACGTTCAGCTTTTCTTGAAAGCCGTCCCAAACCATGGGAGCTTGCTGTTTTCTAGGCAGAGCCTTTCTCCAGCAAGCGATCACCTACATGTTCCCAGAAAGCAAAACGGTTCCACAAATCCCCCAAGAGCAAGGGAAGGCTTTTACAACCTCGGTAGCTTGTGGTTACCTTCCACAGGACGCAGGAAGACTTGCAGCAGCTTAGCTGGCAGGACGTACAGAGGATGCAGGACCCCAGGTCCCCGTAGCTTTGGCCTTTCTTTGCCACGGAAGGTTTCCTCCCATTTGTGGTGGTCCCGTTATATCCATACAAGTGCAGTCCCAGGCTGAAGGCAGGAGCAGCTGGAGACCAAACCCCCGTGTGCCAGGGACACGTCCCCTGGGCATCTCTGAGCATCCCCGTCCTTCCCACGTGCTTGGGGCCAATACTCCCAGTAGGGCTTTGAAATCTAGAAATCAAGCTGACCCTGGGCGATGGAGCAGGTCAGACCTGCCCCTGCATGACCAGAAATCATCCTCCACAAGATGAGTAGGAAATCAGTGGGGGAAGAGGCTGTTCACAGCCAGCAGGACAGGCTCTAAGCATCTTTACTTGGGAGACAAGCAGATCTAGGCTATGTACTTGGGGAAAAAGATTAAAAAAAAAAGGTGAAAAACAAAAGCTTCACAACTAATAGCGGAGCTCTCATATTGTTTCTTACCACCACTGCTATTGAATGTTGGATTCCTAAATCCAGATTTTTTTTATTCAAAGGCTAGAACTATTACCACCAAAGCTAAAAAATACATTATGAACATTGATAATTTGCACCCAAGTTTTTCCTTTTGGCTCCTGGCAGAAACAAACCTCTTCCTGAATACTCCAGTGTGAGGGCAGCAACAGTGAGAGAGCTTCCAAAGCTCCCGGCTTTTTTGGTGCCAGCAATGCACAGCCAAGAAGGACTTTAAAGTGCACAGACTTGAGCTCCCCAAAGTTCAGCTCAGCCAAAAGAAGTGTTCAGGAGAGAGCTGGAGGCAAACACAAAGAGTCTCCAAACTGAGAGTCCACAAGAACTTGGACTCTTCCACCCAGAGGCTCAGATTAAGAAGATAATGTCATCAGACACCATGATCTGGTTGTCATCTTGCATGAGGGCCAATGCCACCTTCACTTCAGCCAGTGAGAAGGGCTCAGGGTTGTCACGGTTGATGGACTCCATCACGTTCTTCAGACCCACGGACTGGGCGTGGGAAGCTTTGAAGACCTCCAGGAGGGCAGCCTTGAATGCTTTCAACCTGGTCAGGGAAGGAAAGAAGTAATCACCCTTGGAGGCCACATGGACAAGCCCTTCCCCTTCCTTCCCAGCCCAGGATGCCCCAGACCTTCCCCATTCCAGAAGCAGCACCCAGCAGGAAAGCTGAAATCGGAGCTGGGAGCACCCACCACAGATCCATCTCCAGCATCAGACAACAGAATGGACCCACCGGGGTGGGGTGGGACACGCAGGGGCAGGTGTCCTTCTCCAGCCCCCACTCACCTCGGCTCAGACACCTCTGGTTTCTTCGCTTCGCCAGCAGCTGAGACTTCGGGCGTCTTTGGAGTGTGTGCCTGGACTGGAGCAGAAGGAATAGTTACCTTCAACCTGCCTGGTGTCCAAGCACCCAGAGAGCAAAAGCACTTGGCCGTAGGATGGGGAGGGCAATGCCAAACTGCCTCCCAGCGTTGTTACTTCTGCAGCAGTTTGGAAGTGGATGGAAAAAAAAGTAATCAGCAATACTAAGTCTCCTGTCCCATCCAGCCACGGAGAGTTTCAAACAAAATTTGTCTTATTTGTGGGGCTGGATGGTGCCACACCACGTCAGGGACCCCGAGTCACCTCAAGGCATCACTGCTCCCCAGATGCACAGACCCACCAGGGCAGAAGGCAGCAGCACCCTTGGGAGCCAGATGCCACCGAAACCCCAGGGACTCACCCTCCGGCATCTCCTCCTCGGCGTCACTGAAGTCGTACGGGTCGTAGGAGTCCCCCTCGCCTCCTGTTCGTGCCTTCTTTCTCCTGGGTGGGGGAAGAAGAGGTCAATCCTGTTCCAGATGAACTGCAGACCTCAGGAGCCCCCTGCCCCAAGCTCCTGGAGATGTCCAGCCAGGACCATACAGGGTACCTGTGGCTCACAGGTAAGTCACCCTCCAGCCACAAACTCCTGCCCATGGCAGAGGGCCCAAGCTGGTACCTGCACTGAGGGTTGTGGCTGTCATAGGATCACAGAAGGGTCTGGGTTGGAAGGGACCTTCAAAGATCATCTAGTCCAACCCCACTACCATGGGCAGGGACATGTCATTAGATCAGGTTGCTCAAAGCCCCATCCAACCTCACCTTGAACACTTCCAGTGATGGAGCATCCACAACTTCTCTAGGCAACCTGTTCCAGTGTCTCACCAACCACATCATAAAAATTGTTTTCTTTATGTCCAATCTAAGTCTACCCTTCAGGTGGGGTCTCCCCAGAGCAGGGCAGAGGGGCAGAATCCTCTCTCTCGCCCTGCTGGCCACACGGCTTTGGGGGCAGCCCAGGACATGGGTGGCTTCTGGGCTGCGAGCGCACATTGCCAGCTCCTGTCCAGGAGGACAATCTCAACCACCAGGACCCCCAAGTCCTTCTCCATGGGGCTGCTCTCCATCCCTTCATCCCCCAGCCTGTGCTGATACTGGGGGTTGCCCCAACCCAGGTGCAGGACCCTGCACTTGGCCTTGTTGAACTTCATGAGGTTCGCACAGTTATTAAATAGTATTGGTCCCAGCCCCGCCCCAGCAGGGACACCACTCGTTACTTATCTCCATTTGGACATCGAGTCATTGACTGCAATTCTTTGGACATGGCCAGCCAGCCCATTCCTTATCCATGAAATAATAATGTCCGTCTACTACAAATTGGGTGGGGGACGATCCACTAGGTTGAGCAAAAGGTGGAGTATTTCCCCGAGGCCAGCACTGCCAGCCTCAGAAGAGGCTGGTGCCCCTTGCACGACATTCCCCCACTCCCTTGCTCTGGCTCCTACCTCCTCGTCCTGCGGTCCTCCTTGGGCTGTGACTCCTCATCCTCCTCCTTCTCAGTCTCCGAGTCGTCCTCCGCCTGCTTTCTGCGCTTCTTCTCCTTCTCCAGAACCTGTGTGGCAAAGGCAGGATGGACTCAGCCCCCTTTTCCACTCAAGCTGCTTTTTGGTGACCAACCCCAAGGAACCCAAGATCCCACCATGGTGGTTTCACCCCACACCATCACCAGACAAGGACCCCACCAGCAGCCCAGGGTGCTCAGCCTGCACCAAACACAACCTTTCCAATGACAAATTTAGGGAGACAAGGGACACCTTCCTCCCACCTTTTTGAAGTAGGCGAACTGCACCAGCTCCAAAGCTGCCTCGGCATCCTGCAGATCAACGGTCTTGTTCATCCTGGCCTTGGCATGGGCCGTGGAGAGGCGGATCAGGGTCTCTAGCGTACGGGCTGTGACTGGGGAGGTCTGGCGGGGAACAGAGAGAGGTGTCTCTGCGAGGCCAACCCCCACCATACCATCCCACCAAGCACGGAAAACACCCGTAAGGGGAGAGGGGAGCCTGTGCCTCAGTTTCCCTCCTCCTGGCCTGAGATGGAGCTGCTCCCGGGGCTCACCCTGGCAATGTCCGAGTTCATCTGGCTCTGGCTGCGCAGGCGGGAGTACTCCTCCGCTATGTAGCTCGCTGACTCCTGGGTCAAGACAGGCTTAATCATCTTTGCTACGTGGATGTACTTCCTCATGAACTCCATGCTGACAGTCTTCTCCCTGCAGGGAACGCATGCACACCTGTGTCCTCCAAGGTGGGGATGGGCAAAGGGTGCTTGCAGAAATGGGCTTCCCACTTTTTAACCCCTCATGGGTGTCCAGGCATGAATTCAGCTCCAGGAGATGTTCCCACCTGCCTGGCATGACAGATCAAGCCCAGAGCACGGCTGCCTTGGCATCCTGGCCACATACCTCCCCATGGTCTACTTGGAGCATTGCTGGCACCAGCAATCAGCCACTGCCTGGATACTCAAGCCAAACCCATCAACTCACAGTGCTGGAAACCCCCAGAGAGCTCCAGGGAACATGGGATGGGGGACTCACTTGCGACGGTTGGGCCCATGCAGGAGGTCATCGTGTTTCTCATACACTTGGAGCTCCTGTTCCTCCTCCTGCACAAAGTCAGGGTCCTCTGTAGCCAGAATCTCCACGGCACTGCCCAGGGGCATGGCTGGACAGGAGAGGGTCACAAAGAACAGGCTTTTAGTCTCTTGCAGCATTGCTGGAGCAACTTCCAAAAGCAGCTCTCAACAAAGCCAGGAGTGCTGAGGTGACAAACCCACCAAGGAAGGGCAGGACCTAGCAACAAGGCAGCTGCACAATTACAATCAACTCACCATCCCCATCCTGCTCGTTGGGGTTGCGGTAGCGGTGCATCCGCAGGACATGGTCTGAGATCTCCCTGTCCTGCTCAGGATCCATCTGGTCCAGCACGATGAAGAGCAGGTCAAAGCGAGACAGCAAGGAGTCCTGCAGGCCAATGTTCTCCATGGGTGTCTTGTACTGGTCGTACTGCAAGAGGATGAGATAGGGGTTACAGGAGACCCTCCTGAGCCAGTCTTGCCTGCCAGGGAGGCTGGGAGGACCTCCTCAGGCCAGGCCTTAGAGGATGGATGCCCAGGCAGCTGGTCACCACACTAAACCCAGATTGCTGCAGCAGTAAGGCCTCTTTTCCCCATCCTGAAAAGTGGGCGTAGCTCTCATTTGTAAGGAAATTACATATTTTTTGTGATCCCAGATCAGACACCAAGGCTCGTCACCAGGATGAGGGTCCACTGGGCTTCCCTGAGATAACGAGGCAGAATTGAGCCAGGGTGAGAAACCCCACAAGCCTCTCTGTCCTCCAGGAGCACCATGAGCAGCAACAGAGACCAAACCAACCAGGTCTTCACTGCCCCACAGATCCAAGTCCCAGCAAGAAACAAGTCACTGGTTTTGGGGGATCTTTTGGGTTTTACCAGCTGCCTTCTCTACCAAGACAGCTCCCAGCACCCCTCCCTATAGAGGGGACCATCAAACGCCAGCACTCACCCGGCCGTAGACAGGGTTGGCTGCTGCCAGGACACTGCAGCGGGAGTTGAGGCGGGCATGGATGCCGGCCTTGGCGATGGTGACGCGGCCCTGCTCCATCACCTCGTGGATGGCCGTGCGGTCAATGTCAGACATCTTGTCGAACTCATCAATGCACACCACTCCCCGGTCAGCCAACACCATGGCCCCTGCTTCCAGGCGCCGTTCACCTGCGAAGGGGTGGGAGAAAAAGTGGGTCAAACACCATTTGATAGCCCCATGCATCTCCCTCCCTGCTGTCCCCCTCCATCGCAGCACCACCCCTGTGACTAGGCTAAGCATCAAAGAGCAGCAGCAACCTTCAGGGCTGCCCATCTCCTACCCAACTTGACAGCAGAAGGAGGACTCAGGATGAGGAGCAAGCCCATGAGGAAGACAAGACCCAGGCTGCCCTCACATGAGGTGCACCAAGAAGAGGAGGAGTAGAGAAGACCACCACCTAACAGAGGTGGAGAAAATTCCCCTAAACACCGCTATCATTGCCATAAAGCTTCTCGATGGAGCAAGCCCTGCAAGCATCACTGCAGAACGAACAGCAGCCATGGATCATGCAGAGTCCCTCCCAGGTGTTAACAAGCATCCCTCTGCCAGCTCCCATCAGGAACCAGCCCTCTCCTCACCAGTTTCTTGGTCTGTGGTGACAGCAGCAGTCAGGCCAACACCAGAGGAGCCTCTGCCGGTGGTGGGGATGGCACGGGGCGCAGTGCTAAGCACATACCGCAGCAGCTGAGATTTGGCAACAGAAGGGTCTCCTGAAATGGAGAAGACTGCATTTAATAATCACACATCACCTGGATAATGTGTCCAGTTTGGGGTTCCTCAGTGAGGAAAAAAGAAAAGGACAGAGAAGTGGGTTTGTTCAGCCTGCAGAAAGGAAGGTGATCAGATGATCTCCTTGCCGTCCTCAATGACCCAGTGGGAAGAAACAGAGAAGATGGGAGTTAAGAGTTCTGAGAGGTGGATGGTGACGGGACCAGAGGCAACAGGGACAACTTGGAACACAGGAAATCCCAATCGGATGGTAGAAGAAAAAGAAGTCTCCTTGAGGGTGGTCAAACACTGGGATAGTGGCCCACAGATGTTGTGGGATCCCATCTCTGGAGATGTTCAAAACGAAGTGGACAAGTCCCAAAGCCGCCTGATCTGCCGGTGACACTGGCTCTGCCCTGCAGACACGCTTGGACCAGAGGCCTCCGGAGGTCCCATCTAACCTCAATCACTCTATGAAACTAAGTCGAGGAAAATGCTCCTTCATCTCATCCCGCAACAAACACCAACCAAAGGAGCCCCTGCCTTTCCAGACCTATCAGTAAGATGTTGATGTCTCCTCGGATGCGGCTCCCATTCTCCAGGACTTTCTCCACCCCTCCGAGCAGCATGCAGAGAAGGGCCTTCTTGATGTACTCATGCCCATGGATGCTGGGAGCCAGGGATCTCGCCAGCTGGTCAAAGATATCCTAAGGCAGAAGAAGCAAAGCAAAGCCCGTCAGATCAACTGCAGATCAAATAAGAACAAGGAACAATGCTCCACAAGTCCATTTCAGAATGAAAAAGGAGTTTATTCCTATCACAGAACCACATGGATGAAAATTATTTAGAAAGGAGACCGTTTGCCAGAGTTTTCTTTCAATGCAGCTCTGAAGTGCTAGACCATCCTGACTGTCACAGTCACCCAAGCACGCACTGAAAGCGGCAACCCCAGTGAGAGCAAGGCTTTCTCCTCTCCACACTATGGAGCAAAGGTGTGAGCACAGGACCAGGCTGGGGCAGACACCCTTTCCCTCCATATTTTATTCTGATTTTGGGTTTGAAGAGGAAAGAGGGAGGTGTTTTTTTCAACTAGAGAGCTCTAGCTGAAACCTCACACTCGGATACAAGCCTGCCTTCTAGACATAAAACTTAAATACCTTGGAGCGACTCTTGCTGAATCTCTTGATCTTGGCCACATCAGCAGCAGAGTAAAGGGGCCGGACATCTTTGCTCATCTGCTTCACATGGCAGGCAATGAGGATAGTCCTGGAGAAGGGACAGAGCCATGATCAGGTCTGTAAACCCCACAGAGAGCCTACAGTCACCGCAACAACACAGCAGAAGCTTCCACAGGGTCATTATTTGCTCTAGGAAGTCCTGGAGGAAGCTGGAAAGCCTCAAGATGTGTAGCCTCCCTCTATCTGGCTGCACTGGGCCATCATGGAGCATTTTTAAGAGTATCCAACCCCCTCTGTGCAAAGCTGGAGCTCACAGCTACACACTGATGCTAAGGAGCAAGGTGCAAACCACTTCCAAGTGATTTAAGCCAACATTTGACCCAGCTCTGTGATGCCCACCTGCCTGCCCTAGATCTCATCTTCCAGAGATATGACCAGACTAAAAAGGGTGGGAGGTCTGAAGTCAAGACAAAAGAAGGCTCACCTGAAAGTCCCTGAAGTGTAACCCCCCTTCTTTCCTGGCAGGCAGCGGTACGTCCCCACCACCTGGATGCGGTCCCCAGGCTTCACCTTGTCCACCAGATCATCATCCAGAATGACGTCCACTGAGCGTGGCAGCTGCCCTGCTGGTGCCTTCTCGGGCATCTCCTGTATGGTGATGGTCTGATGGTCCTTGTAGACCGAGAGGCCAAACTCTGTCTCCAGGGGGTTATTCTCTTCATCCTAGAGGAGGAACCCCAAGGAAAAGGTTAGCAACATTTTTCAGGAGCACAGAGAGAAGAGGTGGGTCAGCTGCGCAATGGGAAGACAGGCTGCACCATCCAACACACACAAGACTGCGGGAAAGGGCTGCTTTATCAGGACAGCCAGGGGCTGGGGTTCACCACCTCCACAGGATCCCCCCCTCAGTCTAAAGTTGCCAACACCCATCACTGCTCACAGAATTACAGAATCATTAAGGTTGGAAAGGACCTTCAAGATCATCAAGTCCACCTGTTAACCCAACACCACCATGCCCACTAAACCATGTCCCGAAGTACCACGTATAAACGTTTTTTGAACACTTCCAGGGATGGCGAC